TGGGCCCGCTGTGGGATCTGGCGCACTGTCCTCCCTCCAACCGCCTCCACACTGAAAAATGCTTCCCACTCCCATGACGTAACCCTGGCCCACGCCTCGTCCCCAAATTCCCGCGGCGTCGGTCGCTCCTGCGTGTCGGTCTCCACCAGAGACGGGATCGAGCCAAGTGCCTGCGCGCGCCTCTCCGCCCCAGCCGCCTGGCATACCCTCATGTCATTCACTGCAGCACTGCAGACGGCATATCAGGCAGTGCTGATGGCATGGTGACGTCGGTGTACGTGGTTCTGGCGTGGTGTGTTTTGAACAACGTGGCATGAAATGAGGGCGTGGTGCATCATATGCAAGCGGGGTCCAAGTCTTGGACCCCAGAGCGGGTAACCCTACTAATGTGATACAAACGCGCACAAATGTGCCTCTCATTATTAGGATTGTACCAGGAAACAAAATGTTAATGAACTCGGGGTCAAGCGTTTGACCTTCGAACGAACAAACTGCAGCGTCAACCAGTAAAGAAAAGTAACATGTCGCGCCGTCGAGGGAGTTACGGGGAAACATTGCCCAACCAAAGACTCGCAGGAAAACGACGATACGCCCATACGGGTGCCGCGACATGCGTTAGCAAAAATGTTGACTGAGCGCACCGCCGAGTTCGTGAACAAAGCGCGTTACGTAACAGAAACTTGTAATCTTGGACCTCAGTTTACAGCTTACAAACTCAACACGTTGAACCTCCGTCGAGCCTGCAAAACGACCCCACGACGGTTTGGACCCCATTTTGCACATGATGCACCACGCTCTGAGGCGACTTTGGTCACTGCATGGCCGTGGGTGGTCTGTGGCATGTTGCATGTCACAGGGCATGTGGTAGTGGATCAGATGACGTGGCATGTTGTGACATGGGATGTACGATGACGTGGCATGCCACTGTGACTCAGCACGTATTGGTCGCTTGTGTGATGCTGTGGACTGTGGTCGTTTGCCTGTTGCACAGGTGCATGCATGCATGCATTCCGCTGCGCCAAATACCACCCTCGTTTTGACCCAGTGGGTAGCGAGGTGTTATATGCATACATGCATGCATGCATGCATGCGCGCACGCGTGTCCACGAACACGCACACATACATGCACATATGCATGCATGGTGCACACATCCTCGTCCTCTCAACATTTGTTTTTCGCCCTGCATGGCCCCAGCCCCACTCCCATCCCCTCCTCATGGCCCACAATGCAGAGAGCTCACCTGGCTGAATCCAGAAGGGTTGCTGCCTGCTACCCACCCACCAACCATACTCCAAGTCAACTCCCCTTACCCTTTCTTCCCCCCAACCCTCACACGGCCCCGCTACACTGCATAGAGGTGACCGGGATGAATCTGGAAGGGCCACTGCCTGCCACCATCGGTGACCTGGTGTATCTCTCGCACCTGTCAGTGCTGCACGCTGCTTTGTGCTATTGTGCTGCAAATGTTTTTGTCTTCTGCTTGCTGCTTGTTGCTGCTGCTTTTGCTGCTGCTTGCTTGCTGATTGTTGCGGCTGTTGCTGCTGCTCGCTTGCTTGGTGGCAGCAGTGGCAAGGCATTGACTATGAACGGAATGGAATTACCAGCTCCATCCCATCCCCCATTGACCAATGGCCGACTCATTGCCCATTGACCATCCGTTGACTGTTGCCCATCCACCATTTCCCAATGGTTGCTGCTTTGCATGCTTGCTTTGTAGGACATTGGATAGGGACAGCATCAGTGGTCACCCATTACCGACATTGCTTCCTTGCTTCCTTTCTTGCTTGGTGGTGCCAGGAATTTGGATAGTAGCGTCATCACAGGCCCCATACTGTCCACCATTGGCCAACTCACTGGTCTCACTTCTCTGTGGGTGTCTTTTCTTGTTACTAAGTGCGAATAACGACATTTGAGTGCTTATGCCGAGGGTTGTGAACCTACTAGTACCATGTTGTGCATCCAACCATACATCCATCCGTGATATCCATCTCATCCATCAATCGGCCAGCTCACTGCTCTCACCTGGTTGTGAGTGAGTCCCGATACCTAGCAACTGGCAAGTGGCTGTAGCTGTGCTGCTAGTAACAAGTGAATCTGCGGTGGCTGTGGGTGATTGAGTTGTGGATGATTGAACTGAACGTCCGAGTGCAATAATAAGATGGTGTGCCGTGCAGCTTTCTTCACAAGCTTGTTTCCGTAGTTCCTACTATTCTCAGTTACATTTCCCAACCCCCTCCCCACACCTACTCGTACTTCTATATCCCTCTCTCCTAACAGCCCTATATAGGTTCACAAACAGCTGGTTTCTTTAGTTCCTAACTTCTCAGCTCAATTCCCCATCCCCCTCCCCCCCCCCCCCCCTCCCCCCCCCCCCTATTCAATGTTCTATTCCCCACCCCGATCCGTCTTTACGCCCTATATTTCTCTGCGCAATTCGCCATATCCCCCCCCCGCACCTGCTCGATGCTCCATTCCCCAGCCCCTCCTAACTTAACAGTTCCATGGCTCTCAACAGCCTCATGGGCAGCTTTCCCAAAACCTTCACCAACCTGCGCAGCCTAAGAGACGTGTGAGTCAAACCAAGTCAAGCCTAGTCTTCTCTTGACTTTTCAGCCAGCTCAGAAGTTACTCCGTGAGAAGGGCACACGAACATCGTCAACCTGAGGGACTTGTGTGTCAAGTCAAGTCAAGTCAAGTCAAGTCAAGTCAAGTCGAGTCAAGTCAAGTCGATTCAAGTCAAGTCACGTCAAGTCAAGTCAAGTCGAGACAAGTCAAGTCAAGTCAAGTCGAGTCAAGTCAACTCAGATCAAGCGTTCACTTGTCTTTTCAGCTGGTTCAGGCATGCCAACATTGTCAACCTGAGGACGTGCGAGTCAACTCAAGTCAACTCAACTCACCTCTATCATCCCCACTCTCTTTCCCTCTCCTACCGTTTTTACCCACCTGTCTCCCCTCCCCTCGCTCCTCCCTTCTCTTTCCACCTCTCTCCTTCTCTCTCCTACCCTCTCTCCCCTCTCTCCTTCCCTCTCTCCCATCCCTTCTCTCCCCACCTCTCCTCTCTCCCCTCTCTCCTCCGCTCTCTCCTCCCCTCTCTCCTGATCTCTCCTTCCGTCCCCTCCCCTCTCCCCCCACCTCTCCCTCCTCCCCTCTTTCCTCGCCTCACTCTCTCCCCAACTTTCTACCCACCTCTCCTGGTGCCCCTTCACAGCTCCCTCTACACTAACCAGTTCAATGGCGAACTTTCTACCTCTCCTCACCTTTCTCGATCCTCCCTTGCCATCTCCCCACCCCACCCCACCTCTCTCCACCCATCTCCCCATCCTCCATCGCAGCTCCCTCTATTCCAACGAGCTCAGTGGCCCCCTTCCGGACTTCTGTGTTCCCCAATCTGTTCCGGTGGTGCGAATCCTTCCTTCCATAAAACCCAACTGCATCCTTCATTCACCGGTTGCGCCAACACCTGCTGACTCAAAGTTGACACTCGGCGGCTTCCATTTACAAAATCGAGAGCCGGCAATGCATCGACTAGAATTGAAACAACTAGTTTTGGAGTTCCTAAAAATCACAATGTGTTGACCGGACCGGAGAATATTTGTTAGGAGCCTAAAACATCCTTTCAACTATCACAGAAATTGAGAGCCAGAGACACCTCTCAAAAGTATTGAGTCGGCAATGCATCAACCAGAAAGGCGAGGCAATTTCGGCAAAAGAAAAGAAAATAAAATAAAATAAAATAAAAGAAAAAGATACGTAACTGACTAGATTTGAAGAGCTTCCAACATGTGGTTCAAGTTGAAACACAATAATGGACCAATGTATAAAAAGAACTTCATAAAAGTGAACAGACCAAATGTCAGTAAAGAAACCATAATTAGAAAGAAGCAACTTGTCCCCGGTGGTTGAGGTATTCTTCGGGGAGGTAATAAGAAACCGAGTCCTGGTGGTTCCAGCACAGAGCTAACTTACTGTCTTATGTCCACAGGAGGTTTACGCACACTCGATTTTGTTAAACAGAGATAACATTGTGTAGCATGAGCAGTATCACACACTCCTTTGACACATGCTCTTGTGCACCATATCAAGGGTTGAGTGTTGCACAAACTTCAAACCTCATCTGAATGTGATTTCCCTGTATATCTCCAATACGAATGATCTGCTCATCCACATAGTCATCTCAACTTCCTGCCAATGTATACTTAGATGCAGAAGCATTTTGGTGCACATGTGCTTGTAACCGGTGTGCCTATTGTAGGGGGTCATCAGGCAACAACTTAGCAGGGCCGATTCCATCACTTAACGACTGTAGAGCATTGAAAGCCCTGAGGGTGACGCACTCTGTTCTGCTCTGAATGAAAGCCCTGTGGGTCACGTGAGGTAACCTATGGTAAAGTGAGGTAGGCTATGGTAAAGTGCGGTAGCCCAAGGTAATGCGTGGTGCAATAAGGGTGTTAAATTTGACCCACAGTCATGTGATGTGAACCCATCCGCAATGCAACTTGTGGATAATGATCAGCCTTGTGGATAATGAGCTCTGCTCTGCCCCAAGTGAAAGCCCTTCATGTGATGGTAGCTATGGTATGTTTTGAATGAAATCCATTTTTCTTAAATTTCGGCAAAAGCATGTGAATCACAAAAAAGAAATTTGGCTTGACTTGAAGTTTCAAGTGCACTGAAGCTGGGAATGCATGCAGTCATGTTCGGTGGCATATGGTAGTGCAAGGTCATGTGCGGTAGCATGTGGTAATGTGAGTTAGCATATGGAGACCTGAGTTGACCTATGGTAACGTGCGGCACCCTATGGTTATGCGCGGTAGGCTATGGTATTGTGTGGTAGACTATGGTAATGCGTGGTAGGCTATGGTCATGTGGTTAACCCTCCCCTCATCCCCTCCCCAACACCCACATGTCCTCCCCCCTCCAGGTACCTGCACGAGAACCGTCTGTCAGGTAGTATTCCAGACTCCATCACAGTACTAAGGGGACTCACACACCTGTAAGCATGGACGCACCCTATGGGACTCTCCATCCTCCTTCACACCCCTCCATCCTCCTTCACACCCCTCCATCCTCCTTCACACCCTTCTATCCTCCTTCACACCCCTCCATCCTCCTTCACACCCCTCCATCCTCCTTCACACCCTTCTTTCCTCCTTCACACCCCTCCATCCTCCTTCACACCCCTCCATCCTCCTTCACACCCCTCCATCCTCCTTCACACCCCTCCATCCTCCTTCACACCCTTCTATCCTCCTTCACACCCCTCCATCCTCCTTCACACCCCTCCATCCTCCTTCACACCCCTCTATCTTCAGTTACACCCCTCCATCCTCCTTCACACCCTTCTATCCTCCTTCACACCCCTCCATCCTCTTTCATACCCCTCTATCTTCCGTCACACCCCTCTATCCTCATTCACACCCTTCCATCCTCCTTCACACCCCTCCATCCTCCTTCACACCCCTCTATCTTCCTTCACACCCCTCTATCCTCCGTCACACCCCTCTATCCTCCTTCACACCCCTCCATCCACCTTCACACCCCTCCATCCACCTTCACACCCGTCTATCTTCCTTCACACCCCTCTATCTTCCTTCACACCCCTCTATCCTCCTCCTCTGTTAGTCACACCGTCCCACGGTTCTTCCCACAACTCTCCCCCCCAGCTCCTCACTCTTCTTTTGAAGAGCCTCAAAAGCCCAGAAAATATCCCCCCTGCGCCCATCCCGCCCCTCAACAACAATCTCCACTCCACTGCACTCCACACCACTCCACCTCACTCCACCCCACTCCACCCCACTCCACCCCACTCCAGGGACCTTTCGTACAACAATCTCTCTGGCAGCATCCCCTCCAACATTGGCAGCCTGGACTGGCTCACCTCCCTGTCAGTCAAATTTGTCAGAATTGACCTTTGAGTCGTGCTAAAAGTCATCTCAAAATTCCTGCTAACACCACCCCAAAAACTGTCTCCATCCCGGCCTGGCGTAACTATATATATACATATATGTATATTTTCCGTGAGTTTCGGAAAGTCTCGATACTCGAAGTCTCAGTTTCCCGATCATCTTTGCAACACAGACGTGTAAGGGAGCTTGACATATGATCCATTTGTGCTGTATCATGTGTTTCCTCTTTTCCCCGCTCCACCCCCCATCTCCCCTCCCCAGTGACATCAGCAACACAGACATGCAAGGGAGCTTGCCCGAGACCCTTGCAACAATGACCAACCTCGAAACCCTGTAATGCGTGCATTTGCATCTTTCCCTCGCTCGCAAACCTGTTGAACGCACCTCCCATGTGGCAAGCCACCCTTGTTGAATGCATCTATGTTGAATGCATCTATGTTGAATGCATCTATGTTGAATGCATCTATGTTGAATGCATCTATGTTGAATGCATCTATGTGGAATACATCTATGTCGAATACATCAATGTCGAATCGAATCCATCTATGTCGAACACGCGTATGTTGAATATATCTATGTTGCATGCCCTGCATGTGCTCTCCCACGACCTCACATTTCATTACACATCCCACGCCATGCCCCCATGCTCCATCCCGCTACATCTGCATGCCCTTGCAACATCTCACGCCCCTCTGAGCCCTCATCCTCCACTGCAGGTCGTACTTGCCATGCATGGTTCTTGGAATTCTCAATCACCTCATGCTCTGACAGCTTTCCCATGCCGTCACCTCATGTTATACCCCCACCCCACCTCCCACTGCAGGTTGTACGACGAGCAGCTCATGTTGTGCCCGACAGGCTCTTGCACTGTTGATGCTGTCAACACCACCCTCTTCTGCTCCAGTTGCTCCGCCTTCTGCTTCTCCTGCGGCACCACGCCAGGTAATAACAGCACCGTAGGTTGTGATAGCAGCACCGTAACTGGTGCTTGCAGCACCATAGGTGGTAACAGCTCCACGCTGGTAATGAAAGTACCACATTGTCAGAAAAAAATCTTGAATGGATTGGCTGAAAAGAAAGGCACTCAGCCTTAAGTAGAAACAAATTTGGGTTGAGGAAGGGAAGGGAATAGATGGGATGGGAATCCAACCATATTTCCAATGATGAGTAGGCAGATTCGTTGGGCTACAAAAGAATCTTAACCTAGATGAGGTTGGGATAACAAATCAAAACCTAAACTACGAATAACCTACTCAATCTAGAATAGAGTATACAAAATGCTGGCAGCCCAATCTAAAACGCACGCCTGGTAGTAATAGCACCACCACGCCTGGTAATATTAGCACCATGCCTGGTAATAGTAACACCTTACCTGGTAGGAACAACTTGTGTTCATGTTTTTTCGCTCCGTGCACCCATCATACGTGCAAGCATGTGTGTGTATATGTGTGTGTGTGTGTGTATGTGTGTGTGTGTGTGTGTTTGTGTGTGTGTGTGTGTTTGTTTCCACCTCCACTTCCCCTCCTCTCCTCTCCTCCACCTCAACCCCCACCTCAGCTTCCCTCCACCTCTTCCCACAACTCCGCTTCCCCTGAACTTTCCCCCACCTCTCTCCTAACCTCTCCGCCCTCCACTTCCCTCCATCTTCACTTACCCCCACCTCTTACTCCACCTCTTCCCCTCCTCTCTTTCCACCTCTGCTCTCCCCCACCAGCCCCAGGCTCCTCTCCAACCCCAGGCTCCTCTCCAGCCCCAAGCAGCCCTCAGCCCGCCCCTCCTTCCTCCCCCTCACCGCCTGCCCCTTCAACTTCCCCGCCGTCCGCGGATGGGGGAGGGGGGCCATCGACAGGGGTGGTGGTGGGGGTGGTAGTGGGAGCGGTGGTGCTGTTGCTGGGAGTGGTGATTGTGGTGGTGTGCTTGTATCGGAGGCAGGGAAAAATGAGGGCAACAGCAAATCAAGGTGAGGCAGAGATGAGGTTGAGGAAGAGTCGAGGGTAACTGAGAGGCGTGTGCAGGGGGTTGCTGATCCATAAGAGGTTCCAGTGATTCATAAGAGGTTCCAGTGATTCATAAGAGGTTCCAGTGATTCATAAGAGGTTCCAGTGATTCATAAGGTGAGACAGAGAGGAAGGTGAGAGAGAGGAAGGTGAGGGGACATGGAAACCTGTAGTGCGAGCATTACCCCTTGGCTGACTATGGAGAAGTCTAAAAAAAGTGACGTCCCACCAATCCTGAGGCATAGTAAGAGTAAAGAGTCCTTTTGACGAAAATAGGCTGCACCTTACTTGTTGGTCTTTAACGTTTAAGGTGAGTTATGTTTCTGGTTGGGTTGAGTGTAGACCTTTTCCCCAACCAATCCAACCTATCCAACCTTATCCAACCTCATCCAACCCTATCCATAAAAAAAACTTCATGATTTGGATGGATCCTCCTCCTAAGAATACTTCCGATTACACCTTATCCACCTAGCCCATCCTAGCTTAAAAAAAAAAAAAAAAAAAAAAAAATCCATCAACCTCTCTTTTTTTATGTCCACCCAGCCCCTCCGAGCTTTTTTTTCATTGACCTTTCTGTTAGAGGTCCACTGGTGATCCTCGATTGATCCTAAGGAAGGGTTACATGCTGGTTGTCCTGGGGGGTTATGGGCGCACTGACCCGCTACTTAACAAGCCTTTTTATCCCAATGGTCTAGTGGTTGGGATTCTGATATGGTATCAGAGCGAAGGTCTTGGGTTCGAATCCCAGTGTGTGCACTTCGGACATCCTAATGCGGGGGGGTGTCTGAGGTCCACTGGTGATCCTCGATTGATCCTAGGGAAAGGTTACAGGCTGGTTATCCTGGGGGGTTATGGGCGCACTGACCCGCTACTTAACAAACCATTTTATCCCAATGGTCTAGTGGTTAGGATTCTGACACTTTCCATCTACCTCTCTCCCTCCCCTCCCCCCAGCAGCAGCAGCAGCGGGGATATCTGGGGGTGGGCAGTGCCAGCACTACCCCTTGGCGGACGTGCAGCGGGCAACTAATAACTGGGCCGAGGCAAACCGCATTGGCAGCGGCGGGTTTGGGGATGTATTTAGGGGAGTGTCGCCTCACGACCCCTCGGTGGTGTGGGCTGTGAAGCGAGCCACTGTCATCACAAGTGATTTCCGTCGGGAGGTGCGCGGTGTGGTGTGTTGTGGTGGTGTTCTATGGTGTGCTTTGGTGTGATGTGGTGCGGTGTGGTACGGTGCGGTGTGCCGTAGCACATAGTTAGTGTGTCTGCCATCAATGGATTGGTGGCAGATGTGGATTTGGAGATGTGTTCAAGGCCAGAACCATCCAAACCCAAACCTGATTCACTCTCCTTCCCCACCCCTCCCCCCACCTCTCCCTTCCTCAACCCACCAACCCTCTCTCTTCTCCACCCCTCTCCTCTTTACTCCTCCCCTTTCCACCACCCCATCTCAACAAGATGGCATCAAAGCACCACCCTGATCTCGTGCACTCCCTCCTCCCCCGCCATCCCTTTTCCCTCCCCCCCCTCCTTTCTCCACCCATACACATGGCAGATCAACGAGATGGCATCAAAGCACCACCCCAACCTCGTGCGGCTACGGGCTACTGCATTAACGTGGACAAGACGGCTGAAAGCATGGAGCAGATTCTCATCTATGAGTTCATGGATGATGGGGACCTTGAGAGGTGGATTGGACCAGGTGGGTGGGGGCCGTGCCTTGCCTTCCTGTCGGTAACACCGCAAACACCAGGCATTGAAAGGCCGCGAACGTGCTCTCATTGGGGTGGCTCCGGGCGTGCTGTACCTCCACAACTGTCAAACACATTTATATGCTTGTCACTTCAGTATTTGGCTTGTGATACTGCACTCAAAGTTTGACCTCCCACCATCACAACCTCCACCAGGTGTTGAAAAGCCTTTGAATCTGCGGCAACACCTTGACGTGCTCATTGGAGTGGCTCGGGACCTGCAGTATCTCCACAGCTTCAATGTTGTTCATCGTGACATCAAGCCCGCCAACATCTTTCTCGACAAGAAAATGCAGGTGCAGAATGCATGTTCTATTATTGTGCAGTTCCTTCTGGTGTGACGTTGCGAGTCTGTCTCCTTTACCATCATCACCCTCCCCATTCCATCATCTCCCCTCTCGCCCTTCCTCAGGCCAAGATAGCTGACTCTGGGCTGGTGAGAATGGGCAAGGGCATTGAAGTGGGTAAGGGATGGGCGATAGAAAAAACGGTGCTATGTGGACCTTTAAATTAACTCACTAGCCTCCTCTCTCTGTTTCTCTCCTCCCCTTCTCCCCCTTCCTCGGGCCAAAATTGCTGGCCTTGGACTGGTGAGGATGGGCGAGGGAACTGCAGTGGGTCAGACGTGAGTGATGGGAACACCTGGCTATGTGGACCCTGCTTACTTCAAATCACAAAAGGCCACTCCAGCAGCCGATGTGCATGGGTGAGTGGAGGAGATGCACAAAAGATGAGCATAGGTATAGAGGGATACAAGTTGGTGAAGTGAAGTACCTCCATTAGGTCGCAGCAGACGCGGGTGATGGAAACACCGGGCTATGTGGACCCTGCTTATTTCATTTCACAAAAGGCCACTCTAGCAGCAGATGTGCATAGGTGAGAGGTACAGATCATTGCAGAGCATCAACATCCTACATCGTACACTAGCTAGGGAACGAGAAAATGATGATTAGGTGAAGATTGGGGTACAAGACTAGAGTGTCGAGACTATTTGTGTACCCCCTAAGGCTAGCCCCAATATAGCCTAGATACAATTATGCATATGTTTTGACACACCCCCATAGGCGAAATGGGGGATAGCCAGAGCAAGTAGTGGTCACAAGACCAGTCAGGAAGGGCAAAGCAAGCTCAGGGTGGATCTCGAGGAAACCATACAAATTCCGAGCACAAGCAAGTGGTCACAAGACCAGTTCACATGCAGTTTAATAATATAGCAAGGGGTACAGTGAGCACAACCTAGCAAGTGTAAGTATGCAGGTATATATATAGAGATCACAGTACAAACAGAGTCAAGAAGTAAGCAAGTGAGGCAGAGTAGGCACAAGGCCTAGAACAGTACAGAAGCGCTGATGGTCACAAGGCTGAAGCGCCTTGGTGAACACATCAGCAGTGTTGGCCCGAGTGGCCACGTAACGCAGACAAAGCTGACCACGCTGCTGCAGCTCTCGAGCAAGGAAGTACCGTAGAGCGATATGCTTCGTTCTGTGCTCCAGTCTGTGCTCCTCACACAAGGCAATGGTAGCCTTGTTGTCGACGTACAGCACTGGAGGAGAACGAGGCCGCTCTCCCAAGTCGGTCAGCAGGTAGGTGAGCCAGCGTAACTCCTATGCAGCCATGGCTGTAGCGTAGATCTCAGCCTCACAACTGGAGCTGAGAACGGAAGACGAGCGTGTAGAACGCCAAGAAACAGAACCAGAGCCAAGGCTGAAGGTGTAACCCTGAGACGACGCTGAGTAGCCTGGTCGTCAGCCCAAGAAGCGTCTGAGTGCCCAGTGAGTACAACTCGGTCTCGTCCTCCAAGCACTAGCCCCATGCCCGACGTACTGCACAAGTAACGCAACACCCTCTTAGCGGCATCCATGTGCTCCTTCCGGTGACGACCAGGAGCGACATAGCGTGCAAGGATGCTAAGAGGGTATGCAAGGTCAGGTCGAGTGCAGGTCATCAGGTACATGAGGCAGCCCACAAGCTCTGGATACGGGCCACTCGGCTCTACGGACTCATCCGAAGGCAGAGCTGAGAGCGAGTGACCGGTAGGCAGAGGAGTGGCCTGAGGCGAGGAGTACGTGAAGCGGAAGCGCTGAAGGACCTGCTGCACCATGTGTGACTGAGTCAAGGTGATGGTGCGCCGTGCTCTGTCCCGGGTGATCCGCAAGCCAAGATAGCTTGTCAGTTCACCCAGGTCTGTGCACGTGTGTCTCTTCTGCAGCTCCGACTTCACGTGGGCGAGTGCCGTAGTGTCAGCAGTGGCAAAGACCAAGTCGTCGACGTACACGAGGATGTAGAACGGCGGCAGTGAAGTGTCGGTGCGTAGAAACAGCGACGGGTCAGCAGTAGAAGGAGCGAACCCAAGAGCCGCAAGTGTAGTCCTCAGTGTGTCGTGCCACTCACGCGGCGCCTGGCGGAGACCGTAGACTGGCCGTCGGAGGCTCCACTGGGTACCAGGAGGGAACGACCCAGTGAAGCCAGGTGGGCGGCGCAGCCAGATCTCCTCGTGCAGGCTGCCCTGCAAGAAAGCTGTGCTGAAGTCAAGAGAGTGGAGCTCGTAGTCACGCTGAGCGGCGACGTGCAGCAGAACCCGAAGAGTGGTCATCTTCGGGGTCGGGGAGAAGGTCTGGAAGAAGTCAACTCCCTCTCGCTGACTGAAGCCTCGTGCAACGTAACGCGCCTTGAAGACAGGCGGAGAACCCGGCGGCCGCTTCACCCTGAAAATCCACATGCCACTGACGATGTTCGCCCCAGGTGGGGGAACCTCGTCGACGTAGGTGCCTGTGGACTTCCAAGAAGCCATCTCTGCGTCCATGGCTGTCTGCCACTGAGAGGAGTACTCACCCGCGATCGCCTCAGCGTAAGAGCGCGGGGTCGGGATGTCTGGAGCATCCGGGTCTCCCTCAGGGGCAACCAGCATGGACACGAGATGAGGTAACGCAGCGGCAAAGCACTCAAACTCCTCCTGCCTGTCCTCAAGGACGTCCGTGCCAAGAGCACACTCACCCCCGACGGACGAAGGACAGACAGACTCAGACTCAGACTCAGCGACAAGGCTAGCGGCGTAGTCTAGACGACAAGCGGCAGCAAAGTCAACTAACTCAGCGACTAGAGCAGACGCAGCAGAGGACTCAAAGGAAGGGTCAGTGACAACTGTGGCGAGGAGACGCGTGACAGTAGGACTGGCAGCACGAAGGGAGTCAGACTCCGGGTCAGCAAGAGCAGGAAGAGAAGACGCAGGAGGAGACGGCAGAGGGACACGCTGAGGAGCAGTGGAAGGACGAAGTGCCATCTGGTGAGTGCCTGGGACAGCAGGAGGACGCTGACGCGGAACACGACGACCAGTGTGAGCAGCACGAACAGGTGACGCACGACGAGACTCTCGCGACGCAGGACGAGACTCAGGCTCACGACGCTCTGTAAGACCTCCAGTCGGACCAGTGTAAGGAGAAGGACCAGGGAGTGGCGAGGCAGGCGGTAACTGTGACTGCGACTGGACAGGCGGAGGACACTCTAAGGAGGGAGCAGGACTAGGGGGAGGCGGCTGACCAAGAACCTGCTGAAGGAGCGGAACGAAGTACGGCCGCGGCCGCGCAGCGCCTCCAGAACCAGCAGAGGCACCACCAGTACCCTCAGCTCCAGGGTCTCCAGCTACACCAGCAGCACCAGCTCCCGGGTCCGCAGCACCAGCAGCAGCTCCAACTCCAGGGTCCTCAGCTCCAGCAGCAGCTCCAACTCCAGGGTCGGCAGCACCAGCAGCAGCTCCAACTCCAGGGTCCGCAGCACCAGCAGCAGCTCCAACACCCGGGTCCGCAGCACCAGCAGCAGCTCCAACACCCGGGTCCTCAGCACCAGCAGCAGCTCCAACGCCCGGGTCCTCAGCACCAGCAGCTCCTCCAGTAGTAGGAGTACCTCTAGCAGCTCCAGCAGCACCAGCAGTACCACCAGTACCAGCAGTACCTCCAGCAGCGTCAGTAGCACCAGCACCAGCAGCACCTCCAGGAGCACCAGCAGCACCGCCAGCAGCAGTAGCACCTCCAGCACCAGGGTCCGCGACACTAGGAGCGCCACTCCGGAGACTGCAGCGCCGCGCGTACCACTCTCGGAGCCGCTGGGGAGAGGGCAGCTCCCGCCTAGGAGGGGAAGCACTAGCACCAGCTCCAGCAGCACTCCTAGCTCCAGAGGCACCTCTCCTGAGGCTGCAGTACTGTAAGTACCACTCACGCAGCTGCTGTGAGGAGAGAGCTCCTCCAGGTGTAGTACTCCCAGGCTCAGCACCTCCAGACTCAGCACCCCCAGACTCAGCACCCCCAGACGCAGCACCCCTAGACTCCGCAACCCCAGGCTCCGCACCCCCAGGCTCCGCACCCCCAGGCTCCGCACGCTCAGGCTCAGCACCCCTAGCAGGACGAGAGTCGACAGCTACCTCGACAGGCTCAACCGGGTCTACCTGGGACACACCTGAGGGAGCGGCACCCTGAGGGGGGAGGGGGTCTACCATAGCAGCACCTGGGGCAAGGAAGAGAGGCGGGGGGGGGAGCGGGGCAGTGCGGTAGGGGAAGAGGCGGTAGTAGGGCACGGACTCGTCAAAAGTGACGTCCTGAGAGGGCAGGACACGGCGCGAGGTGGCGTGGTAAAACTGCCAACCAGACGCGTCCGGGACAAAGCCAAGGAAGACACAAGGAACAGCGCGGGAGGAGAGCTTGTCCGCGGACGTATCGCGAACAAAAGCTCGAGATCCCCAGACCCGAAAACGCGACGCATCGCCAACCTCTCCCGTCCAACGCAGTGTCGGGGAAGTCTCCGGCAAGGAGACACGGGGCCAGAGGTTGAGCTGATGCGCAGCGTATCAGACCGCAAACGGCCACAGAAAGTGGGGGGCAGCCGCATGGATCAAGGAGGTACGAGCGACCTCCATGACCAAGCCAATGCGGCGCTCAGCAACCCCATTCTGCTGTGGAGAGGCCGAAAGCGTGAACGACTGGCGGATGCCGTGCTCCGCACAGTAGGCTGCCAAGAGGTCGGAGGAGAACTCACCACCTCTGTCAGAGTGGAAGCGCAGGACAGGAAAGTCCGAGTGGAAACGCTCGCTGAGCTGGAGACGAGAAGCGCGGATCCAAGGGATCAAAACATCAGGGACCTCACCCTTGGTGCGCAAGGGGAAGACCGTGGTGTAGCGCGAGTAGTCGTCAACAACTATCAGGAAGTACCTTTCCTGACCCTGACCACGGACGCGGGCTGGGCCCCACACGTCCATGTGGAGCGTCTGCAAGGGAGCAGTCGTCGGGGGAAACGAGGAGGAGTGAGGAGCGGCGCGCTGCCGCCCCTCGACACAGGGAAGACAGGGAGGAGCAGGCGAGGGTGGGAGGGGAGGGAGAACCCTGGGAAGACCAGAGACAAGGTACCTATGCATGGCACGAAGGCGCTGCACAGACGGGTGACCAAGTCGGTGGTGCCAGAGGACGGTCTCGTGCGCCAGAGAGCGACACGAGCAGGGGGCCGACAGCTGACCTGACGCAGACGCAGACGCAGCTACCTGAGGGGACTCAGTGGTCAGTGTGTACAGGTCCGACCCCGGCTGCCGAGTGAAGGTAGCCAGGTGACGGCCCGTCCGAGCACACGTGCAGTGTGTCACGCGCTCGTAGGCAGGGGTGAACTGGTGAACACCCCCGTCCTGGAGCGCACAACCCGCCACCAAGTTCGTAGAGAACGAGGGGAGGTGGAGACCTGACAGTGTGCCCGACGGGACCGCAGGACAAGGAAGGACAGTGGAGGAGGTCGCAATGACCGGACCCCCAGAGGGGTCAGCGAGGGAGACAGCAACTGGCCGAGCAAGCGGCTCAAGGGCAGTGCGGTCACGAAAGAAACAGCGAGAAGCACCTGAGTCCAGTGTGAAGGTGTGTAGTGCCTCAGTCGATTCAGTACCAGGGGGCGCAGACTCACTAGCACCTAGAGCAGCAGCCTCACCAGCACCTAGAGCGGTAGCCTCACTGGTCCGAATGCCCGGGTCGGGCGGAACACGCAGGTACTGAGCACCCTCTCCACTAGTAGACATCACATACATGGCAGTGAGAATAGCATCAAAGTCTAGAGCATAGATATCAATGTTCTTTTTCATCAGATCAGCCCAGCGGGGCAGCTCAGTGGCATCAGGGAACTGAGTACGCCAAGCGTCGTCGAGGCGAGAGAAGCAGCGCTGCGTGGTGTGCGCCCTCACACACGTCTGACCAGTGCGGTCACCAGTGCGGATGACGTACGTGCAGCTAAGGCCACCCCCCCCCCCCGTGCTGAGAGTACCACTCACGGAGCTCCTGGGGCGACGGAGTGCGCTGCTGGCTCTGGCCACTGCCAGCGCCTCCACGACCACCACCGCCGCCGCCACCTCCTCGACCACCCCCTCCCCTGCCGCCGCCACGACCACCGCCGCCCCCACCACCGCCCCCGCCCCTGCCACCTCCCCCGCCGCTGCCGCCACCACCCCCACCGCTGCCACTAGTCCCTCCAGCCCCACCACCACCCCCACCGCCTCCACCGCCCCCACCACCGCCTCCCCCACCGTCACCTCCGCCTCCCTTGCCCCCTTTGCCCTTGCCGCTGCGGCGCCAGCTCGAAGTGGACGCAGTCCCGACCTTCTCAGCACCAAGGAGGTCGGCAGCAGAAGCAGAGGCTACAGAGGGAAGAAGGGGGGAAGGGGAACACCCCTCAAAGAAAGGGGTGCGGGGGTCGCCACGAGAGGCACCTACAGCGACTATGCTAGCCTCAGCTGCAAGTAGTTCCTTCTCAAGGAGGGCAATGGTAAGCTCAGTGGGGCAGCGAGATAGGAAGTGATCCCTGACTGCACGCAGAGTGTCAGGGAGGCGGGTGACTAGGTGGTAGAGAGTGAGCCAGAGCGGGGGGGGGTTCGTGGCAAGAAACTCATCGGGCATAGCGGCACGGAAGCGGGCCTCACTAGTACGGAGGTGCGTGATGAGGTCAGCGACTGTGTGGAAAGAGGCCAGGTCGGGGAACAGGTAGGGGAGTGAGAGGCGGCCTAGCGCGGCAGAGGCAGGTGAGGAGTAGCGGGCAACGACAGCGGTGTACAGTGCCTGTGCAGTCTTGTGCTGGCCAAAGTGCTCGCGCTCATCTATCGGCAGGGAGTTGCGAATAGCAAAGCGAGCGTGGGCGTCACGAGTCTGCCACTGTGAGCGGGCAGTGCTGTCAGCAGTAGCAGCAGGGGCAGTGGCATGGCCTAAGGCGTGATCGTACAGTGAGATGTCTTCCTTGGCAGTGAGTTGTAGGAATAGGTGCAGGTCATCGAGCCAGGTGTCAAACTTCACTGGGCGGCCCTCAGCATCGAAAGCTAGCACAGGAGGGCTAGCCATAGTGATAGTAGGAGCAGTAGCAGTAGTAGTAGCAGAAACAGCCGTAGTGACAGTAGCAGTGACAGAATCAGGGGCGCGGCTCGGTAGGGCGGCGCGGCTCGGGCCGGGTGACGCGGTTCGGTGGGGCGGCTCGGCTCGGCTAGGCAGCGGCTACTCGAGGTGGGGCACGTGAGGGCGTGCAGGGCAGAGTGGGGCGGTCCGCACGGGGCACGAGGTGGCGAGCTAGCTAGGGCGGGGCCTGGTCGCACCGGGCCAGCAAGGGCGGGCTAGTGGGGCGGGGCCGGTACGCTAGGGGCACGCGAGAGCGTGCAAAGCGGCTGCTCTGGGTCCAGGGGCGGCTGCACCAGGGGCGGCTGCTTCAGGGGCCAGGGGCGGCTGCTCTGGTTCCAGGGGCGGCTGCTCGAGGGTCCAGGGGCGGCTGCACCAGGGGCGGCTGCTTCAGGGGCTGTAGCAGCAGTAGCTTCAGTCAGGAGCAGCTGCAGTAAGCGCTGGAGTAGGAGCTGCAGCAGTAGCACTAGCTATAGCAAGTGTAGTAGTAGGAGCTGCAGCAGTAGCACTAGCTGTAGCAAGTGTAGTAGTAGGAGCTGCAGCAGTAGCACTAGCTGTAGCAAGTGTAGTAGTAGGAGCTGCAGCAGTAGCACTAGCTGTAGCAAGTGTAGTAGTAGGAGCTGCAGCAGTAGCACTAGCTGTAGCTGGAGTAGTTTCAGACAATAGTAGCTGTAGCAAGTGCCGTAGTAGCAGTGGCAGCAGTAGCACTAGTTGTAGCAGCACTAGCTTCAGTAGCAGCAGCAGTGAGTAACAGTAACACGGGCCGCGTGCGGGCCAGTCGCGGGCTGTAAGGGCTGCGTGCGGGCCTGGCGCGGGCTTTACGCGCTGGGTGCGAGCCTGACGTGAGCTGTACGGGCTGCGCGACGGCCTGGCGCGGGCTGTACGGGCTGCGCGACGGCCTGGCGCGGGCTGTACGGGCTTCGCGACGGGTCTACGCGGGCTGTACAGGCTTCGCGACGGGCCTACGCGGGCTGTACGGGCTTCGCGACGGGCCTACGTGGGCTGTACGGGCTTCGCGACGGGCCTACGCGTTCAGGGGGGGGTCGCACGTGACTAGGAGGGAAAAAAAATCGCGTCTAGGGAACCGTCTCGCCTAGAGCACGGTTTCAAATTTCGCATTTCTCCTAGGGGCGCGACTCGGGCAGTAGATCGAAACAGTAGTGGTGGGCCCTTTTTAAAAAATCGGTCCTAAGGAGCATTGTGCTCTTAATACCATGTTAGAATCACTAGCTAGGGAACGAGAAAATGATGATTAGGTGAAGATTGGGGTACAAGACTAGAGTGTCGAGACTATTTGTGTACCCCCTAAGGCTAGCCCCAATATAGCCTAGATACAATTATGCATATGTTTTGACAAAGGCCACTCCAGCAGCCGATGTGCATGGGTGAGTGGAGGAGATGCACAAAAGATGAGCATAGGTATAGAGGGGTACAAGTTGGTGAAGTGAAGTACCTCCATTAGGTCGCAGCAGACGCGGGTGATGGAAACACCGGGCTATGTGGACCCTGCTTATTTCATTTCACAAAAGGCCACTCTAGCAGCAGATGTGCATGGGTGAGAGGTACAGATCATTGCAGAGCATCAACATCCTACATCGTAGAACATTGTACGAGTTGATTGTAGTGCTGCGTATGCTCATCGTACTTGTTGTGCTCGTATGAAGAATTGACAAGAGTTTCATTAGCAATAATAAAATCAACACGAACACAATAAAATGCAATGGCAATATATTACGGAAAAAACACAACACACCCAATATCATTGGCATCACCTAGCAGCAAGGCAACTTGCAAACACGGCAACAAGGCAAGGCAGCTTCAAGCGCTGCAGCAAGGCGGCTTGCCAACGTTGCACCAGTCTGCATCGCATACCAAAGTAGATGCAGGTGTGCTCAATGGATAGTTACGTGGACGTCGTGCAGGTGCCACGTATGATTTTTACGGGTCGACATTTGCGAAAACCGTCACGGTTAAAAGTCGCGCACATATAGAATTTCGTCGACCACTAATCTGGTTGACCAGAAAGTAGCCGCTTCGTTGGCGCCATCAACGTTGTTAATTCGTCGGCCGGTGCCCCGCCGATGATACTTCCGTCGACCAGTGACACTCGCCGCCGCCACCGAGTTAATTCCGTTGGCCAGCACCTCGTCTACTTTTGCTATCGTCACCTCAAAAGTCCGCCGATGCCGACGTTATAACTTCACCTTGAAATCGATATTGACCACAAAACTAAGCTGGCTGTACACATTTTTGCATCACACAGCAAGCCCGACTTTGCCCAAGCGAGGGCGGGGCCGTTCTCGTCAACAAGCATAAGTCGGTACAAGCCAGTATGCAAATGATGGGGGGAGGGAGGGGGGCTGGTGAAGGCACGAATGTGCTCAAGTACAGAATGGCAAATGGCGGTACAAACCGAAATTTGTAC